CGGTCGCCGTCGCCGCGCCCGCGGCCGCGTAGCCGGTGTAGCGCGCGCTCTCCTCGAAGAAGCTGTTGGCGACGAGCTCGGCCAGGAACGACTTGCCGACGCCGCTCGGGCCCGTGAGGTGCAGCCGCAGCGGCGCGCTGCGGCCCGCCGCCCGCGCCGACGCGTGCGACCGCGCGAGGCTCAGGATGCGCTGCGCGAGCCGCTCGCGGCCGGCGACGCGCGTCGCGAAGCTCCGCTCGAGCGTCGCCACGGTCTCGCTCGCCGGCACGGCGTTGCTGCAGCCGCAGTAGGCCGACGCCCGGGCGACGACGACGAGCCACGCGACGGCGCGCGCGGAGCGCTCCATATCTCGGAGAGCTCAAACGCTCTCTGAACGATGGGCCGCGCGGCCTGCGCCGCACTCGTCGCGGCGGTCTGCAACGCGGCGACCGCGCCGTTCACGGATGTCGTCGACGCGCGCATCGCCGCCTGGGTGCGCGCGTCGGAGGCGAACGTGAGCGCCGGGTCGCTGCTGCTCGTGCTCGGCGGCAACGCGACCTTGCACGGCGCCGCCGCCGCGAGCGCGCTGCGCGTCGGCGCGGCGGCGGCGGGCGCGCCGCCCATGGCCTTCGACGCCGTGCACGACGCCTCGGACTGGGCCGACGCGGACGCGGCGTTCCGCGGCGTCGCGGCGTTCGTCGCGGCGCGCGGCGGCCGCTACGGCGTCGTCGCCGTGCCCGAGGCGGCGCCGGCCTGGGTCCTGAAGACGCTGGCGGGCTACTTCTTCGGCCAGGCGCGCTGCGGCCACGCGGCCCTCGACGGCCCCGCGTTCGCCTGCGCGCGGATCGTCTGGGCGCTGTCGACGTCGTTCGGCGCGTCCGCGCTCGCGTCCGAGCGCGCCGGCGACCTCGACGGCGCCGTCGCCGCGGACGCGAAGCGCGCCTGGCCGAGCCGGACCCACGGCGCCCTCGCCGCCAAGGCCGCGGCGGCCGCCGCGTTCGTGTCCGCGCCGCGGTCGGCCGACGCGCTCGCGCGCGTCCACGCCGCGCGCCGCGCCTCGCGGCCGCCCGGCGGCGACGCCCTCGACGGCGTCGTGGGCCAGCCCGCGGCCGTCGCCGCCGTGCGCGCGCGCGTCGACGCCGCGAAGCGGCGGGGCCCGCGGGCCGCGCGCGCGGCGCCGCCCGCGGTCTTCTACCTCTATGGCGCGCCCGGCGCGGGCAAGACGCGCCTCGGCGAGGCCGCCGCCGAGTCGTTGGGCTACCCCGTCGTGCGCCTCGCCATGGAGAGCTACGCGTCCGTCGAGGACGCGAACGCGCTCTTCGGCGCGCCGCCGGGCCTCGAGCAGAGCCCGTGCGTGCTGACGGACCTGCTCCTCGAGGACCCGCGGCGCGTCGTCATCTTCGACGAGGTCGAGAAGGCCCACCCGAGCCTCTTCGGCGAGAAGCTCCACTCGGCGCTCTCCGCGGGCACGATGACGCACAAGCGCGACGCGAGCCGCACGGCGAACCTGAGCGAGGCGCTCTTCTTCTTCACGTCCAACTGCTTCGAGGCCGAGGTCGCCCGCGTCTTCGCCGCGACGCCCGACGACGAGGAACGGCAGCGGCTGCTGGGCGACGCGGTCAACGACGCGCCACGCGCGCGGTGCTCCGAAAACCGACCGGCGAATCCTTTCGACGACGCGAGCCTGAGATCTCGCGTGGGCCGGCGCAAGCAGTTCGCCTTCGGCCCGCTCGGGGCGCGCGACCTCGCCGCCGTCGCCGAGGTCGCGCTCCGGCGCGTCGCCGCGGACCGGGGCCTCGACCTCGCGTGGTCGACGGAAGCGGTCGAGCGGTACGCGGCCGCGGCGCCGGACGCGCGCGGCGTCGCCGAGGCCGTGCGCGACGACCTCGACCGCTTCCTCCTCGACGCGCCCGCGGCGGGGGGGCGCGTCGTGCTCCACGTCGACGCGCCGCCGGGCCCCTGGACGCGCGGCTCGGGCGCCGCGGCGGCCGGCCCGCGCCTCGCGTGGCTCGACGCGCCCGCGGCGGACGCGCCGGCCGCGGTGGCGCCGACGCACACGACGGCGGCGTTTCGCGCGCCCGCGCCGCGGGAAACAACGGCCTCCGCGGCGCCGCGCGCGCGCGCCGCCCCGGCGGCCGCGCGCGCGGCCGAGTCCGTCGCCGCGCCGGACGTCTCGGCCTACTACGCCTACCTGCCGTGCCTCGTCGCCCTGCTCTTCTTTCTCGTCGCGCGCGTCCTCGCGGCGGCGATGGTCGCCGCCGTCGCGTC